AGGCAAAGACCCCACCAAAAAAGAGTATTAAAGACCAATATCCCTGATGAACATAGATGCAAAAGTACTCAACAAAATATTAGCAAATCAAATTAAAAAATACATCAAGTGGATCATATACCATGACCAAGTAGGGTTCATCTCAGGGATGCAAGGATGGCACAACATTTGAAAATTCATTAATATCATCCACCACATAAAAAAAAGAAGGAAAAACCCACAGGATCACCTCCATAGACACTAAAAAAGCATTCGATAAAATTCAACATCCATTCATGATAAAAACTCTTAACAAAATGCGTATAGATGGCAAATACCTCAACATAATAAAGGCCATATATGATAAACCCACAGCCAACATCATACTTAACAGTGAGAAGGTGAAAGCTTTTCTTCTAAGATCGGGAACAAGACAGGGATGCCCACTCTCCCCACTGTTATTCAATATAGTACTAGATGACATAGCCACGGCAATTAGACAGAAGAAAGAAATACAAGAAATCCAGATTGGTAAAGAAGTGAAACTGTCACTATTTCACTATTTGCAGATGACATGATACTGTACTTAAAAATCCCTAAAGACTCCACTCCAAAAGTACTAGAACTAATATCAGGATTCAGCAAAGTTGCAGGATACAAAATTAATACACAGAAGTCTATGGCTTTCCTAAATACTAACAATGAACTAACAGAAAGGAAATCAGGAAAACAATTCCATTCAGAATTACATCAGAAAGAATAAAATACCTAGGAATAAACCTAACTAAGGAAGTGAAAGACCTATACCCTGAAAACAACAAGACACTCTTAAGAGACATTAAAGAAGACACTAACAAATGGTAACTCATCCCCTGCTCTTGGCTAGGAAGAATTAATATCATCAAAATGGCCATCCTGCCCAAAGCAATCTACAGATTCAATGCAATCCCTATCAAATTACCAACAACATTCTTCAACAAACTGGAACAAATAGTTCAAAAATTCATATGGAACCACCAAAGACCCCGAAGAGCCAAAGCAATCCTGAGAAGGAACAATAAAGTTGGGGGGGATCTCACTCCCCAACTTCAAGCTCTACTACAAAACCACAGTAATCAAGAAAATATTGTACTGGCACAAGAACAGAACCACAGACCAGTGGAACAGAATAGAGAGTCCAGACATTAACCCAAACATATATGGTCAATTAATATATGATAAAGGATCCATGGATATACAATGGGGAAATGACAGCCTCTTCAACAGTTGGTGTTGGTGAAATTGGACAGCTATGTGTAAGAAAGTGAAACTGGATCGTTGTCTAATCCCATATGGAAAGGTAAATTCTAAATGGATCAAAGACCTGAATGTAAGCCATGAAACCATAAAACTCTTAGAAAACACATAGGCAAAAATCTCTTACACATAAACATGAGTGACTTCTTCATGAACATATCTCCCTGGGCAAGGGAAAGAAAAGCAAAATGAACAAGTGGGACTATATCAAGCTGAAAAGCTTCTGTACAGCAAAGGACACCATCAATAGAACAAAAAGGTATCCTACAGTATGGGAGAATATATTCATAAATGACAGATCTGATAAAGGGTTGACATCCAAAATATATAAAGAGCTCATGCACCTCAACAAACAAAAAGCAAATAATCCAATTAGAAAATGGGCAGAGGAGCTGAACAGACATTACTCCAAAGAAGAAATTCAGATGGCCTACAGACACATGAAAAGATGCTCCACATCACTAGTCATCAGAGAAATGCAAATTAAAACCAAAATGAGATATCACCTCACACCAGTAAGGATTGCCACCATCCAAAAGACAAACAACAACAAACGTTGGTGAGGTTGTGGAGAAAGGGGAACCCTCCTACACTGTTCGTGGGAATGTAAATTAGTTCAACCATTGTGGAAAGCAGTATGGAGGTTCCTCAAAAAGCTCAAAGTAGAAATACCATTTGACCCAGGAATTCCACTTCTAGGAATTTACCTGAAGAATGCAGCAGCCCAGTTTGAAAAAGACAGGTGCACCTCTATGTTTATCACAGCACTATTTACAATAGCCAAGAAATGGAAGCAACCTAAGTGTCCATCAGCAGATGAATGGATAAAGAAGATGTGGTACATATACACAATGGAATATTATTCAGCCATAAGAAGAAAACAAATCTTACCATTTGCAACAACATGGATGGAGCTAGAGGGTATTCTGTTCAGTGAAATAAGCCTGGTGTAGAAAGACAAGTACCAAGTGATTTCACTCATATGTGGAGTATAAGAACAAAGAAAAAAACTGAAGGAACAAAACAGCAGCAGACTCACAGAACCCAAGAATGGACTAACAGTTACCAAAGGGAAAGGGACTCGGGAGTATGGGTGGGAAGGGAGGGATAAGGGGGTGGATAAAAGAAAGGAGCCATTAAGATTAGCATGTATATGTGGGGGGTGGCACGGGGAGGGCTGTGCAACACAGAGAAGACAAGTAGTGATTCTATAGCATCTTACTATGCTGATGGACAGTGACTGTAATGGGGTTTGTAGTGGGGACTTGGTGAAGGGGGGAGTCTAGTAAACATAATGTTCCTCCTGTAATTGTAGATTAATGATACAAAAAAAAGTTAGGATTAGGAGGGAACTTTACTGACTTGATATATATCAAAACCTATAGCAAATATAATAATAAATGGAAAATCTTTAGATGCTGTCCAATCAACAAAAAAATTTTTCTCTTCACTGATTTAATATAATAGTGGAGGTGTGACCAGTGTTGTAATACCAACACAATGGAAGTATATAGGAAATGTACAAATATGAAAAAGAGATATATAACTTCCTTTACTTGCACAGAATATAATCGTTAACAGATAAACCTAAAAGAATAAATACATTTTTTAAACTAAGAAGAGAGTTCAGGAACTTCCCATATATTTGAGCGACAATAATACAAAAAATTCAAAACTTGTGGTAGCCTACCTAATTATAAAATTAAGTAGGAATCAATAAGGTATCCCTCAAAATAATAAGATCTAAAAGTTTCTAGGAAACAACCTTTCTTGCCAATGGGTTTCAGCCCTAGGCAAGTTTGCTCTGGATTCAGTGTGACCAAAGAAAATGATAGCAAAATGTTCTTGGGGTGAGAGGGTTATACCCAACTTTATTTCCAGGTGGCAGGTCAGTCACTAGCATCCCATTCACTCAGAGTGAGTCTGTATACAGCAAGCCAGTCTCTGCCTCTGTGCCCCTCTGTGTGCACAGCCGTTCTCTGGACCTCTCTGCCTGCACTGCCTTCCTCTGGGCCTCTCTGCCTGCACAGTCATCCCGCACAGCCGTCCTCTGGCCCACTGTCCTCAGCGCTGCCACCACGCCAACCTCTGCTCTGCTCTCCTGCAGCCTTGCAGCCGTGCCACTGTGTCATGCCCAGAGCACTGGGCAGAGCTCTCTTTTTATAGAGTCAACAGCCATGTATTGCCCACAGGTGTGCAGTGAGCTAGTCATCCATGGCCAGGTGAGAATCCTGGCCACAGGAACTCTCATTTTATCCACACAACCTAACAAAGAAAGCACAAAACTTTACAGAGAATATTTTAAAACTCTTTAAAATATAAAGGTAATTTTGACTAAATGAAGATATACCATGTCCATATTTGGGGTGATTTAACATGGTAATTGTACCAATCCACCTCACGTTAAGTTGCAAATTGATGCAGTCCCAAATTAAATTCCAGCAGGACTTTCAGGAAAAGTTGGTAGACTTACTTATATTTGTAATAGAAGACTTTTCGTGAATAGTCAGTCACTTTGCAAATCAACTTGAGAAAGAAGGGCAAAGAGAAAGTATTCACCCTATTGGATATTAAGATATACTTAAAAGCCAAAGTAATAAAATGGCATGGTACCCTTGTAGGAACTGAAAAGTAAACAAAGGAACAGAAAAGAGAGCTCAGAAATACATTCAAGTATGTGTGGTAAAGATACTCCAGTTTCTATAATGGATACTTATTTTATGATTCTTAGAATTAGAATTAGTGTTAGAAAAAAAATTTTTTTGTGTGCATATGAAAATATACACAAAGGAAAGAAAACAACCCAACTCAAGTGTAATGTTTCTCTTCTTCTATGCTTCTCAGAGCCACACAAAGATGGTGTGCTGGTGTTGGCCTTGAGTGAAGGTGAAAAGAGGGGAAAAATCTTTTAATGAACTCCACAGTATACCAGGCACCAAGCTGGGCACTTTAAACAGTCTTGTTGAATCTGCACAATGTTATGAGGGACTAGGCATTACTATTTCATTGTATGGATAAGGAAACAGGTTCAGAGAGGTTAAGTAATTTGTTTAAGGACACAGGAGAGGAGCCCAGGTCTGTCTGGGCTCATGCTCTTTTCACTACATTACCACGAGTGACTGTGGGAACTGATTGAAACTGGGAGGCAAGCTGGGGCAGCACACATCAGAAAGTAGATTGACAGATCTGAGTTTATTATAGCTGTATTTTTTCTGCTTACCAAGAATGCCATATGCTGATAATGGATTTAATTGCCTGCAAATTGTGGTGAAATGAGTGGCTTTAAAGCAAGGACTCTATATTCACTCATGTTAAGATAAAGGTGACCTGTAAACCTTGTTTTTCTTGCCCCTACCATGAATGATTATCTTTTAGATAGGCTGAGATCCATGGAACCCAAAATGCATCTCCAGTGGTAGAATTTCAGGTATCGGTCCAAACAGTGAGGGAGGTATTTTATTGTGCAGGGGTGAGATGGGGGTTAGGGAGCTTCTTGATTCTCTAAGTTAAATCAAGTGTGCAGTTGCCTACCCTGCCTCCATGTGCTAACAACTTTGATTATAGGGGAAATAATCTGTTCTTTGCTGATATAAATAGAGATTGCTTTGGAAATAGACTCATTTTAGAAGTTAACTTTGGGACAAAATTTATTAGTTTTCTTGAAGCAGCTATGAAATATTTATTGAGAGAGAAATTTAAACTCAACTTCCTTTTTTTCTTGTCAGCGAAGTCAAAATGGAAGGACCATTCTTTCAAAAATGAGCATCACACATGTGAAAGGACTTTTTTCTAATAGTTAACTCTAAGGTCTGGGGTTGACAAGATGGGCTATGAGAACCTCCTGCCTCCTCAACAGCTCTGGCTCATTTTAATTGGGATTTCTCTGCTGTCTTTGGCAGAGCCATATGGGTTCAGTAAATGCACACAGTATGAACTGGACAGTCATCACGTGTTCTGCATTCGGAAGAAGATCACCAACTTGACAGATGCCATCAGTGATATCCCTGGATACATTACTCACCTCAACCTGACACAGAACCAAATTCAGATCCTTCCTCCCTATTGCTTTACTAATTTGTCTGCTTTGGTGGACTTAAGGCTGGAGTGGAATTCCATTTGGAAGATTGATGAGAGGGCCTTTTGGGGACTTGAAAACCTGACCCTTTTGAATTTAGTGGAAAATAAGATTCAAAGTGTGAACAACTCCTTTGAGGGCCTGTCTAACTTGGTGACTTTGCTCCTGAGCCATAATCAAATTACCCATATTCATAAAAATGCCTTTGTCCCGCTTGTCAAATTGAAACATTTAAGCTTATCTCGAAACCATCTTACTGATTTTTCAAATATTCTTGAAGCAGTCCAGCATCTTCCGCACCTGGAATACCTTGATCTTACTAATAACAGCATCATCTCTTTGGACCATAGCCCCAGATCATTGGGCTCCCTGATCCAGCTGAGCCTGCAGGGGAACAAGCTAATGGGATTAAATTTCTCTGCTTTGTCACTGCCTAATCTGACCACTCTGGATGTCTCTCAGAATAATCATCAAATAATCCAGAATGTGCATCTGGAAACTCTGCCCCAACTGAGGAGCCTGAATCTAAGTGGAACATTGGTGACACCTGAGATGCTTCAAGCCAAACACCTACAGAATTTAAGGGAAATGGATCTTAGTAACTGGGAGTTTGGAGGTAGTCACTTCAACTTGAACATTGTGTGTTACCTCCTCAGAAACTTACCCATATTAGAAGCTTTGGTTTTTCGGAATAATGCTACTGATGCAGGGGGCATTAAGCACCTTGCCAACTGTACCAGACTATTGTCCCTTGACTTGAGCCAAAACAATGATCTAGTTCACCTCAATGACAGTGAATTTGATGCCATGCCCAGCCTCCAAAGGCTGAACCTAAACAAATGCCAACTCTCCTTTGTTAACAACAGGACCTGGGGTACCCTCCTGAACTTGATAGCCCTAGACCTGAGCCACAACAGGTTTAAAAGCTTTCCAGATTTTGCATTTTCACCCTTAAGGAACCTACAGTCTCTCTCTCTCTCTCGAAATCCCATCACAGAACTCAATAATATGGCCTTCTATGGGCTGTATTCATTGAAGGATCTCAACCTGGCTTGGTGCTGGATAGTGAAAATGGACAGATACTCCTTTGCTCAATTTCCAAATTTAGAGATTTTAGACCTTGAAGGCAACAACATTCGGACGCTGAAACGCAGAACCTTTCAATTTCTGAAGAAGCTACAAGTTCTGATTCTTTCCCAGAACCGCCTGAAAGAGATAGAGAAGAATGCATTTTCTGGCCTCACTTTCCTCCAAGAACTTGACCTGGCATACAATATCTTGTCAAGTTTTCATGTAGGCCTTTTCTTGGGCCTTGAAAATCTAGAAGTTTTGAATCTCAGTTTTAATAAAATTACCTACGAAACCACTAGGACCCTGCCATCTCCTCCATTTATAAACCTCAAGTCTTTGAAACAGCTCAACCTAGAAGGACAAATACATGGGATTCAGGTTGTTCCAACCAATTTCTTCCAAGGGCTGAATGGCTTGCAGGTGCTTCTCCTAGGAAAAAATCCCGTGATCTTCCTGGACCATCTCCAATTTGACTCCCTGACCAATCTCACCAAGTTGGATATCTCAGGAACAAAAGCTGGAGACCGAAGCCTCTGTTTTAACATTTCCTTATTCCAAAAACTCAAAAGACTGAAAATGCTGCGCCTGGAAAACAACAACTTAGAGTCACTGACTCCTGGCATGTTCTCTGGTTTAGAAAGCCTCCAGGTCTTCTCTTTAAGATTCAACAACCTAAAAGTCATTAATCAAAGTCATCTGGAGAATCTAAAGTCTCTAGTGTACTTTGATCTCTATGGGAACAAACTTCAGTGCAACTGTGACAATGTGTGGTTCAAGAACTGGTCAATAAACACAGTAAATGTCCATATCCCCTACCTCCGGAGCTACCCATGTCAGCAACCAAATACCCAGAGTTTGCTGATAGATTTTGATGATGCTCTGTGTAATTTTGACCTGGGAAAAGTTTACTTCTTCTGTTCCTTTAGTCTGGTCCTCACAACCATGGTCTTCTCTTGGTTCAGTATAAAGATGATTGCATCTCTATGGTATGGGCTCTATGTAATCCGAGCCTGGTACCTGGCCAAGTGGCACAGAACAGAGAAGGAGTTTATCTACGATGCCTTTGTCTCTTTCACAGCTAGTGATGAGCCCTGGGTATATAAAGAGCTTGTTCCTGCCCTAGAAGAAGGTGGCCAGCCCACCTTTAAGCTCTGTCTTCACCACCGTGACTTTGAACCAGGTGTAGACATCTTTGAGAACATTCAGAAGGCCATCAACACCAGCCGAAAAACTTTGTGTATAGTCAGTAACCACTACCTGCACAGTGAATGGTGCCGGCTTGAAGTACAGCTGGCCAGCATCAAGATGTTCTATGAGCATGAGGATGTTATCATCTTGATCTTCCTGGAAGACATCCCAAACTATAAGCTATCCAGCTACCACCGGCTCAGGAAACTTGTGAACAGGCAGACATTTATCACCTGGCCAGACAGTGCCCATGAAGAGCCACTCTTCTGGGCTCGTATTAGAAATGCATTGGGCAACAAATCTGTGGAGAAACACAATACACAGCTAATTGTGGCCAATTGACTGGAAGTCTTTGTGATCTCAAATTTGATGTTGCCCAAAGTGTGTATAGGCTAAGAGTGTGACTGAATGTAACTGCTTTGCAGGGAAAAGGGCATGGACTCCTCATGACCATGAGACCCAAGATCATTTGGCTAATGTCCACCAGGCACCTGAAAAAATGAAGGGTGCTGCTTGAGGAAGCTTCAGGAACAGTGTTCCTACTATTAGGGGATTAGATATCTTGAAAGCCTATTTTACTAAGGAGAAGGCATGGGAAACAAATCCCCTGAAAGTCTGGGGACCAGGAGGTCTCTCATATGTGCTTGAGTTATTTTATACAAATAAGTTATTGCCAAGATAGATTGAACTGCACTATAAGAAACTATAACAACAGATACACCACGTACAGGGCTCAATAAAAGCAAAAAAAAAAAAAAAGGATTCTGATGTATTCTTCTTTAGGGCATAAGATTGCAAAGGTTAGCCTTTTTCTCTAAGTTGATGTCTTGCCAATGGGTTTCAGCCCCTGGCAAGTTCACTATGGATTCAATATGACAAAAGAAAATGACAGTAAAATGGTATTGGGGTGAAAAGGTTATACCAACTTTATTTCCACAGTGGCAGATCAATCACTAAAATCCCATTCACTCAGAACAAGTCTGCATGCAGCAAGCCGGTCTCTGCCTCTGGGCCTCTCTGCCAGCAGTTGTCCTGCACAGCCATCCTCTGGGCCTCTGTCGGCACTGCCACTACTCCAGCATCGTCTCTGCTCTCCTGCAGTCCTGCAGCTGTGCCACCATATTGCCCAGAGCCCTGAGTGGAGCTCTTTATATAGAGTCAATAGCAACATATTGCCCACACATGTGTAGTGAGCTAGCCAACCAGGGCCAGGTGAAAATCCTGGCCACAGGAACTTTCATTTTATCCACAGTCAGAGTGCAACAGTTAAGATGGTCCTAGCTTGTATCCATCAACTTTACTAAAAGGGAAGTAGCCTGGAAAGTGGAAGTAGCTAGCAGTGCAATGATGGCTGTAGAAACTATTGCCTTACTGTAATAAACAGACTTCATAGAGCAATTGCTGGCAGCCATCTTAAGGCCCAGGGTGTAGACTCTAGAGGCTTCATGTTTTGGGCACCAAACACATATCAGTGTCCTGTAGCAGGCAACACCTATTGGGAGCAACACCCAGCATAGGGTCCATGGCTCTGGTATTAACCTAGAAATTCCTGTAAGAAGCAATTTCCTACAAGAAAAGGGCTACAAATTCCTAGAACAAGAGGGACCATAGGGACCTAGAGGAAATCGGGGAATAGTAGGGTACCAACACTGTCCTTTTCTGATTGTCTCTCCATTAGTGCTTGGTCTTTTATCACTGGCTTCTGCTCCAGTCTTTCCCCTTATCTCAAGACTCTAGGAAAAGTTTGTTGAGGAATAGTCCCTGAAGGGCAGAATTTTTAGCTGCTGGAGTAGCCAAATGTTTACTTCAGCTGGCCTTAGCTAGGCCTCTCTGAAACACCCCTGTGTGATGAGAGGTTGGCACATTTTGGACAGGACTTGTGGATATCTCAAGAACAAAAGCTGGAGACCAAAGTCTCTGTTTAAAAATGTTCTTATTCCAAAAGCTCAAAAGACTAAAAATTCTGTGCCTGGAAAACAATTTAGAGATAACCATTAGCAAAAAATCCAGGGGCATTTGTGTGGGAAATTGTGAGTCATCAGCTGGATGTTTGTGGGTTACAAATTACATTGTAGCAGGAAATAATTTGCAATTGCCACATGGAACATGCAAGAAATATCACATTACTTGATTTTCTTTAAACCAAATGATATCTAATTTTGAGGCCCTGTTCTGCTAGACTGGTGGAAAATTCAGTCTTAGTCATTATGGGTTCCTCACCCTCACCTGCCAACCTCTAGCCTTCTTGCATAAAGAAACAAACTTGGTGGAGGACTTTTGTAGAAAAGAAATGTTCAATAGTGAAAAAGAAAACTGATTTCTATTTTGCATCCTGAAAAAAACCATTTGGGGCAGTTTCTCTAGCTTCTGGTCCACATTGGTTCCCTCTTGTATGCTCGTTATCCAAGCTGGATCCCTGGAGTCTGACAGCTCTTCTTGGAACTTCATTTTTGTGGAAATTGGACATAGCCATTTCCTCCCGAAGTCATATCACCTCTCTGAAGATGGAGTGGGTCTTGGTTCCCACCTTTCAAGGAAACAGCACACCTTTATTCTTCTCCTTGTCTTGGGAAATCTTCAGCTCTCTGGCTGCTTTGGCCAGCACCCCTTGCCTTGCTCTCTCCCATCCCTGCTGCACCTGGTGTGATCTCAGTGAACTAAGCCAGGAGGAGAGGTTGTATTCAAACAACTTTGGAACATGTTCCCTTTGGATGGGGAGAGCTGTTCTCATTCTTCTTCTTGTTCTTCCTGATTCTTCCACAGCAGGGAAAACAAAACAAAAACATCTCTATAAATTATTCTGCCATGAAATTAGTAAGTGAAAATGACCAAGAGACAGATTATTGGGCAGCATGCCAATCAATGGCAGAATAGGACTCCTTGAAACTACAGTGTGTGATATGAGGGGCATAATACCACAAAGAGGGTGATGGTTGTAACCTAGTAGGAAATTGCACACAGGTGTATATGTGTGTAGTCCTTGGCAGGAAAGGTGTATAATTAATAACTTGAACTGGTTTGGTTTTTGAACTGATGAGGCAATCATGCTGGAACAGAGACTAAATTTTACACACATATTTTAGGAAAGCAGATGAACACAATGTTCATCTGTGCACTCAGGACTGGTTGCATAAATTGCAGGGCCCAACATAAAATGAAAACGCAGGGTCACCTGTCCAAAAATTATTCAGAATTTCAAGACAGAGATGGCAGAGCGTTAAACCAAGCACAGCAACCTTCTGAGTGTGAGGCCCCATGTGACTGCACTGTTCACAGCCCATGAAGCCAGCCCAGTCTGTGACTGTCAGCCTGCTGAATAGGCTTTGTCCCTCACAACTTAAATCTCCAAATAGTAAAACAGTATTTTCCCACAGAACATAGTAATTAATCCAGTAAACAGATGACTATTTCCTTGAACAAAATTATGTCTCCAGCCTCTGAGGTCACCTAAAAAATGGAACTGTCTTTGGTATTGAAAAAAAAATACCACTACCATCACATAGAAAATGGTGCTGCTGTCATTCTTGTTGTTTTAGCCATGGAAGGGATTGGAGCAGTAATTCGAGGCATACCCACTGTATAAAGGTTTGCATCGTGTCTTCACATGTGTCAAATATTTACTTAGCTAGAAAACAGGGAAGGTCATTTTCTAGACCAAATTACCAAAACTGCAGGCATTTTTAAATGAAGCCATTTTTTAAAGATGTTTGGAAATGATTATATAGTTAATTTCTCTACCAACCAATCTGAAGCAGTAAGAGGTTTAAATTGGAAGAGAAAAAATTTAGAGGAGAAAAAGAGAAAATCTCCTTTGCCAGTAAAGGTAGAACAAGATTGAGCTTAATAATTAAAAATATCTGAAATTTTCTTCTCTATAGATACTGCAAAAAAAAAAGAAGGATAAAAACCTCCCTGTTAAGCATTATTTCTACAGGCCCACCTGGATGATTTTTAAGCTCATCTTCCAAACTAGAGTTTCAATGCCAGCTTTGTATTTGCGGGAACAGGATAATGTCTGCCATTAGTGGATGGGCTTAAAAGGCAGACCAAAATTATTCCTTGCCACTCACAGTGTGGTCCACAGCCCAGAAGCATGGGTATGATGCAGAGCTTGTCAGAAGTGGAGACTCTCAGGCCCCACCCAAGATCTTCTAAACCAGAACCTGCCTGTTAGCAAGATCCCCGGGGGGATTCTTAAGCATGTTGAAGTTTGAACGGCACAAGGTGAAGCAATTATTACACTGAGGAAGCTCTGGGAAGGTTCTCCTAATCTTCAAATACTAACTCTTAGGTGACACAGTGATTTAAAATTTTAAATGTGATCAGTAAATATTCCTTGGATTTCTCTTCTTGTGATATTTCTTAAAAGAACAATAGTAGCAATAATATAATTTTACATGTGTGCAGAGATTTTCATTTCATTGCTTACCACCCCAAGATGCCCAACCTAATTTATATGATCTAAACTACCTACGGATGGAGCCTGCAGCTTTTTAGGGCCAGAAAGAAGATTAGGGGGTCCATGGGTTGGAGTGAAGAAAGGAAAGTTGATATCCTAAGGGGCAGAAGGTGTACTAGTGTTACGGAAAAAACTGGAAAACCTGGACTGGATCGCTGACGGAAGAACCAAGTGGCACTCGGAGGTCTTGAGCAATTTATATTATTTTGATATGTGGCATTTCGGCATGCTAAGGACAAAAGAGGCGCCCGGAGAAGGAGGGGAGGAGGGAACCTGGGAGTGCTCTGCTGACTTTGCTTACCAGAGGAAAAAAGTGGTTGTGTTGAACATTTTCCTTATCACTAGTAGAACCGGCTTCTTTGCTGCCCCCGGCACAGCACTGCCACCTGGTGCTTATTTAACTGATCATACGATTTCCTCCTCTCCCCCTGTTGTTGGCCTATGTTAACTAGAGAGAACAGAGTGAAGCCTTGTATTTGATGCCTTGTACTTGTTTGGCTGCTGTAAGAAATTACTAAAACGATAGTGGTTTAAAACCACAGAAACTTATTCTCTTACAGTTCTTGAGGCCAGAAGTCCAAAATCAATGTGTGGGCAGGGCTATAATCCCTCCAGAAGCTCTAGGGGTGAATCTGTTACTCGCCCTTTTCAGTTTCCAGTGGCTGCTGGCCACTGTTCCTGAGACTGTGGCCACATCACTCCAATCTCTGCCTCCCTCTTCACGTGGCTTTCTTGTTGATGTGTCTGACCTTCCTCTGCCTTTTACAGGGGCAGTTGTAAATGGCATTTAGGGCCCACTTGGAAATACAAGATTTTCTATTCATTTTAAGATGGTTAACTCAACTGAAATCTGCAAAGGCTCTTTTCCAAATAGGGTAATGTTCACAGGTTCCAAGGATTTGATGTGGATATTTTTGTGGTACCATTTTTTAGACTAACACTCACATCTGTTCTTTAGAATCTTTTAATTCATTGTTGCTAATTAATATATAAGATCAGTTTGCTGGCCAAGGGTAGGCTGAGAGGTTAGGATGCAGGATGTTGCATTTTGAATTTAGATGTGGGTATGGTGGGAGGAAGTTGGGGTTCCTATGGCCAGGATCCTCACTGAACTTAAACCACCTGATGATGTAACTGGCCTGTTGCTGGGCTGCTGCTTCCACACCTTTAGGCAATAAGCTATTATTGCACTATATAGAGAGCTCAACCCAGTGCTCTAGGTAGAGGTAGAGATGCTAGTGCTCAACCTACCGCTGCAAGAACAAACTGTTTAATAAACC